CGCAAAAAAGCAAGGATTTTAACGATTTTTTTTTAAATTGCAGATATTGATCTACTGAATCGATTTAGTGAACTAAACATCAGTAATTGTTTATTAATAATTAATTATTGTTTATAAACAAAATTTTTTTTTTTTTTCAAATTGATTTTTTTCAAATTGCCACATTTTTTTTTTCTTAAACTTTTTTGTCTGTAAGGGAATAGTATAAACTATTTTCAGTACGAGTAGCAGTATGCTAAAATTCGTCGTTTTCGAGTTATGATTTTTTTTCTGAAAATGCACTTATATGATGCTAGCAGATTTTCGTGCCAGTTGAGGACGCAAAAATTGTTGCCCATTATGATAAAGTTTCCTTGCTGGAATTTTTTTGAGGTTGCCCGATCAGAGCCAAAAGTTTTTCCCAATTGGGCTCTAATTTTGGCCCAATTGGGGCCCAATTAGCGATTTGCCCAATCTACCGAGGATTTCCCCAACCAGTCCTCACAATTTGCTCAAAGTGAACATGCATACGCAATTAAAATGTTTTTATCGATAAAATCACACATACACACATCAAAATTCCCTACGAAAAAAATAGTTTTTAATTCTTCTCTTGAAAAATTTTCCACATACAAATTTTTTGATAAAAAAAATTAGTTTTTGAAAATATGCCATTTCAAAAAAAAATTGGAAAAAATCACAACGGTAGCTCTGAGTATTGCGCAATATTTAAGTATAATGTTATGGGGTGCACTCTACAATAATTTGCGTTAAGAATTTTTTTTTACACCGAAGTTGAGTAAAATGAGTACATTACCAATTTACAAATTTTTTAATCTTTTATGGAATTTTTTTGATCATGCAGTTTTATAGCCCATTAAATTTTAGTATAATAAAGTGGAAGTTTTAAGAGATTGCAAAACAGCCGTTAATTTTTTTTTTTAATTTTCTTTGAAAACGGTTTTAAGCATTTTCATCGATAAGGAAAAAGTCCAAGAAGCCGTGAGCATAAACAATATTAAAAATTAACGCAATTTTGCAGTAGCTTAACACTTGCACTTTATTATACTAAAATTTAATGGGCTACGAAATTGCATACTCAAAAAAATTCTAAACAAAATTTTATTTTTTTTTAATTGTAATGTACTCATTTTACTCAACTTCGGTGTAAAAAAAAACGACGAATTTTAGCATATTGCTACTCGTACTGAAAATAGTTTATACTATTCCCTTATAGACAAAAAAGTTTGAGAGAAAAAAAGATGTGGAAATTTGAAAAAAATCAATTGGAAAAAAAAATTTTTTGTTTATAAACAATAATTAATTATTAATAAACAATTACTGATGTTTAGTTCACTAGATCGATTCAGTAGATCAATATCTGCAATTTAAAAAAAAAAAATCGTTAAAATCCTTGCTTTTTTGCGGCAGCTATAAGCGATTTCATCAAAAGTTGCTATTAAGAGAGGAAAAAAGAAGCGTTCGTACTCAAAAAGAAAAAAATTCATTATTCGAAAAGTTCGCATTTCTGAGCAAAAAGAAAAAATACGTGTCTCCTTAAATTGTTCAAGGAACAATCCCTGTGAGTTTTATCGCAAACTTAAATTCACTTTCCCCCGGCCTGGGTGATTTGAGATGGAATGAGCCAATGATTTTTTCTCAAGTAGTTTTGCTCAGTGGCAATTTATTCATTTTATGTAAGTAGCAGCGGCGCATTGGGTGAACTAAATGCATTCATACATACATATTTATGTACAACTGTAGGTAATATTTTATGCGCCTTCCCATGTAGGTTAAGTGCGGGTGATAAACCCATGTAGCATAGTTAAATACTGTGTAAATAACTACAATTAAAATGATGAAAAATATTACAATTTCGGCATGTGACTGGAAAAAACTTTAAAACACACACAAATTGTGGTTTCCAAGACATGTACTAAGTGATTAGCACAGCTGCATCCTTCAACTTGTCAACTCGCGGGAAATTCCCCGATTTGCAGGGAATTTCGATTTAAGTGTCAATCGGGGAATGGGCAATTTTTTTCGGGGAACTGGGTATGTTATTTTTATATCTTAAAGTAACCAAATTAGACGAATGTTAATTTTAAACCATTTGACCCTTTTTGGAGCGACATTTTTTCAATTTGAATCGCAATATCTCCACAACAAGAGTTTTCCCAGATATAAGCTATATACCAGAGGAAAGCTAAGGTCTTGGGCTAGATTTGTAAAAGCTTAGGATAAAATCGACTGACCAGTTTTTGAGAAAATGCCCGAAATGTATATTTTCAGCAGCCCGATTTTTAGTTTTCAGGCGATAACGTTATGACGTGTTTATATTTTATAAACACAAAAGATAGCGTTAGATAGCTTGTTTGAACACCCTTCTACTGATAACCACAGCAATGACATGGACTGAGTAGTGCCGCCTCAGTGGTAGTTTAAAAAATTGCCTTTTTTCGATTTTCAGGCAGCAGCCACGCCCACAAAGGCATACGAATCAAGATATCCTGGAACAAAACCTTCTTAGTTTTTTTGTACTTTAATTCCTGAAAGCTTGAACAAAATTAAATCAAGGTACGTACAGACGCCACATACATACCAAAGCATCTCTTAGTGGAGACACGAACCAAAACACATTTACCTCTATATCTTTCCAACTTGTAGCCGGAACTTAATATATAAGCTATCGTTTGAAAGGCATTGGCCTATAGAATAACACTAGATATGTACCGGCAAAAGCAAAACACGTTTTTTTGTTTCGCAACACTTTAGCCAAATTTTTAAGAATCCGGTTAATCGTTTATGAAAACTTATGAAAACTTCCAAATCTCGTGTATATATAAGCGAGTCATTTCAGCATGCTACTGTGGCTGCTTACGTCACTCGCGCGCACTGCCGTGCGCTGTGATTATGACATGCGTAATTGCGAATACTTTAATTGTAATCCTTAAAATTTGACAATTACGACTCTGTAGTCGTAATCGTACTTTTTATGATTACGATTATAGCAATCGTAGTCCTAAAAATTTCAAGATTACAATTACCGTAATTGTAATCATGAAAATGAGGATTACGATTACAGTAGTCGTAATCGTTAAATTTTTAGGATTACAATTAAAGTAATCGCAATCATGCAATTCATGATTACGATTACAGTAATAAAGAAATTAGTTTTGCTTAGAGCAAATATTGATTTTTAAGCACTAAAATGGATTTAAATTATGCATTCGCATATTTGTTTGAAATTGTTGTAATATTCTACACAGACTCGTGGTCGCAGTATTTCCAATAAAGTTTGATTTTGATTCACTGTCCACCTTGATGTTGTCACACAAAGGGGAGGGACCTACAGTTTTACGCCGACCCGAAAGGCGATTTGAAGGTTTGCCATTGCCTGCCGAGAAGCGACCGCTATTTGAAACAAACGTTTTTTGTTTTTTAGTTTTTGATGTTGGGTTGAACCGGGCTTGAATACAGGCCCTGCGAAATGGTAGCGCACACTGCTAACCACTACACCACAGCGGCCGCTTTGTAACTGTTTATAGTCTTATAGGAAATTGCCTTATTTTACGGCCTTTACTTTTTTATAAGTTACAATATATGACCAAGCTGTGTGGAGCTGCCGATACAAACATATATTCAGGCATATAAGCCTGTAATTATACATTTTTCTACATTTAATTACAATAGTTAAACCACTTAAACTCTTGTCACTGGTCAACTGCGCACTGTGAATTCAAGATCTTTAAACCAAGAGAACTAAAACGAGATCGAAAGTCTTTCTCATTCGATTTATAAGTTGCAACTAGTTGATCAAATATATAATTGTTCAATTTTAAAAGCTCTTAAATATTTTAATCGTTTCCCAAAAGCACTTATCGCGCAATCAGATTTCCACGTGTGCATATACTACATATGTATATTACGGTGACCATCCGTCCTTTATTTTAAAGGACAGTCCTTTATTTTAACCCCCTCTCCTTTATAATTTTTTTCAAAATAAAGGACGCCTTTTGTCCTTTATTTCTTAAACTGTCCTTTAAATCAGCTCTGCATTTTTCAGAGGTAAAATTTTAAACACAGAATATGAAAAATAAAAATATCCCTTATGAAATATAATGAAAACCTTCGCCAGTTTGTTTCGCACCCCACTTAAGGGTTTCTACTTAATCGGTAATCTTTGTACAATCTATAAGCACAGAGAAAGTTGTGCCCAGGATCGTGTTGCACGCTGAGTTTCCACTTCCACTGAAAAATAACATTAAACCCCCTGCTGCACAGTGGTTAAAAACTGGCATTTTGTGTTCGTAATTCACTAGAGCCTTCATTTTTTCACTTAATTTGATTATTTTGCCTGAGCCTGATTTGTGAATTTTTATTTAATTGTATTCAATTTTTTATTGCAAAATGCAGAAAAAGTAGCAATTTTGAAGAAAATGTGTTCTCCTGTTCCAGTGAATAAATGTTACATAGCAAACACTAGTTGACAACAATTGTAATGTTTTCCCAAAACGAAAAAAATACACAAAAATTTGAAATGTTATAAAAAAATTCCCCCAAACTAAATATTTCTTTTTTAGTTTTTAGTAAAAATTGGTTGAAAAATGAAGGCTGCGATGATTTATGAACATTCAATTCCATTTTTGAACCACTGTGTGCTGGCTTCGTTGTGCAGTAGGAATTATGGGTAAACGCATTTTGATGGCAAAGGATGGCGAAGGCCTTGAAAAGGATTTGGCTTAATTTTTCGCTACAGCAGGGGAACTTGTACAATTAAATAATATAATTAACTGGTAAATATTTGATTTAAATTACGATATGGGTAAGGTACTTTTCGCATACAAGTTGTATGTGCGTATTCCCAAATCATTTTGAAAAAAAGTCCTTTATTTTACGTTGGTTAATATGGTCACCGTATGTATACTATGTATGTACATAAAATAGAATTTAGTAGACTACACTCAACGAATTTTTACAAGCTTTTATTTAACTTGCTTTTAATATTTATGTACTTGCAGCACTTTCACTCATCTTCTTGCTGTATAACCGCAAACGAAAGACAACGAAAAAAAAACGTGCCGGCCCAGAAAAAGATGTACGTGAAACTGTTATCAGCTATGACGATGAAGGTGGCGGTGAAGATGATATGACGGCATTCGATATAACGCCACTGCAGATACCCATCGGCGCAGGCGGTAACATGCCACCTGATATTGCCACTTGCAAAATGCCAATAATATGTGAGTATAAACTTTTGAACGAAATCCAAAGCAAAGAAATCCCTGCAAAAATCGTTGGACCATGTGGTATATTGGAGTACTTACAAAAGTGCTCCTCTGTCATGCTGTAGCGGACCAACTCGTGTCTTTATTGTTACCCCTATCACTGCTGGTGTTTTAACCACAGTATATACAGTAATAAACCTTTTCGCAGTTTTTCACTAATTGGTCCCCGAGGAGTACTTTTGGGTTGTATGTAGCGTTTTCGTTTTGCGCGCACGGCAACACTTACTGTGGGGAATTTCGCCTCATAACTAGAAATAGGTATTTTCGAGAATAAAATATATATATACAATTGTGTTATTTATGAACAAAATTTAAGTTAAGTATAGTATCAGTGCTTAATTAAGAATAATATCAATAGTTAATAACTAACGCTTGTGTTTTTATAAACTGGAAACTCACATCGTATTTTTTTTAAGAAACGTGAATTTTGTGATTTAACCCAAGTTTGAGCGGAACTCGTCAAAAATTCTTAACATCAAAGTATAGAATGTCACAAATATGAATCATACACACATACAATAGCAATTGCTATGAATTGCTACCGTATAAAGTCAAGACACGCATTTGGAGACTGCGTTGGTTATCGTTGTCATAAGTTCAGCCAACACATTCAATGGGCCATTACCCGGAGCTGATCCAATATGATGAGTAGATTTTAGTGAGCCTCACAAGCCACTACCTCTGGTTACACACTGGATATCGGAATATTGCAAAATAAATAGCAATTATCTCTTATAATTATAAGAAAAGTGTTTACAAAATTACCTGTGCCACTCTGACATAGTATGGTTGTTCTCAGTTTCATACCACAGTAATTTTGTATGCAACTATGAATCAGCAAATTTCATGCGCCTTCTCATTATCAACCCTGATCACATTTTACCCCCGATGAGTACTCAAAAAGGTTTATTACTGTATATACTGTGGTTTTAACGAAATGTGATTGAAGTTGAGTATTTGAAAGCACATTTGCATGTCTGGCTGTAGCTGGACGTGTAGAGATGCTCGCTGTTAGTTGTTAGCTCCCAGCATGTTTGGGTTCGAATACCGAAAGAGGCAACATCTAATTTTTTATTTTTATTTTTGGTTTTTATTAATTGCGAAAAAGCATCTGTGAAATGAAGAACAAAAGCGTCATTGTTAATATGTTGGAGTAGTTTTGTGCTACTCTGATGTAATGCAGAGATGGAGTATATGGTCCTACCCTAGGACATCGCTTTATTAATTGGACCATATTTTTTATATGAATTGTGGTTAATTTTGGAGTACTCCTTGGCCCTTAGGGAGTACTCTTTACAGGCATGCATGGAGTAGTCGCGATTTTTGCAGAGATACCGTGGAAACACAAAGGGCACGTTCAGAAGGCGCAACAGCTTAGTTACTGATTTTGATTTTTCTGATCATTTGAGACAACATGTTGGTGTGTACCTTTGAGAGTTGAATTTGAGAGCTGATGTAATTTTGCCCACTCCCAAAGGTTTAAGGTAGGGGGAAAATTGATATTTTCAAGCACTATGTACACATATGTATCTTTTAAGCAAACTTTTTTGGTGAGAACTTATTTAAATTCCAAAAACCGAATGCCAACTTGAATCAAAGGAACCAACACGGAAGTGAGTCAAAATGAAAATAAAAGAGCACAAATTTCTATGTAAAGCAAAACTCTCTGGGAATCCTACGAGACATCTGCCGGTCATATAACTGGTCATCTAAATGGGAGATCTGCAGTCTTTTGGCATCATATTTTACATCAGAATTGAAGGGATTTATGAAAAATCTGACCAGTTCTTTTGTGTAACTGTGATTTTGCATCCCTTTACTCTTTGTTCTTTTTATTAATGATATAGGCAGCTGTTTTTCCTTCTCTAGGTTCTTGCTTTACGCGGATGACCTAAAAGTTTTTTCTTCGATTAAGACTTCTGAAGATGCTTCTAGGGTTCAATTAGATATAAATAGATTGTACTTATGGTGTTGTCGGTCTCACCTACATCTCAATATTAGCAAGTGTTATCACGTAACGTTTTCCAAACTACGTAACGATGTGCAAACGTCATACAGTATCTCTGGTACTCCCCTTCAGTCAGTTTCTGAGATCAAAGACCTTGGTGTAATTTTCGATGCGTCTTTTTTATTGAATAACCACATCAATTTTATCATATCTAAATCATATGCTGCGTTGGGCTTTGTTCGTCGAAATAGTTGTAATTTTACTGATCCCTACACTCTGAAATTACTCTACACGTCTTTTGTTCGTCCAAAGCTTGAATATGCAGCACTCATCTGGAGACCTCATCATAAATTTGCCATCGATAGAATTGAGCGTATTCAAAAAGTTTTCCTTAAATATGCCCTTTCTTCCCTCAATTTCTCCACTCCCATCCCTCCGTACAATTCCCGCCTCCTTTTGATTAACCTTAAGTCCCTCGAAAGCAGAAGGACTATTCTTTCCTTGTCTTTTGTGCGTGGCTTGGTAAGTGGTGAAATCGATTGCCCCGCATTACTGCTTGCTATTCAATTTCTTATTCCTGCGAGAACACTTCGTTTTAATCTTCCCTTTTACCTAAAGGCCCGCAGTACGAATTACGCAAGAAACGCCCCGTTAGTGCGTGCACTTCGAGAACTCAACGAGATTTCGAATTCTATTTTGCTTGATTTTTCTTTGCCCAAGAATATATTTTATAGTTTATTGAATTCAATTTTATTTTAGTGCCTTCTGCACTTTAGTTCTCTGTATCGTTTTAATCAGTAAGAACCTTTGTAGTTTATTGACTTTTGAAATAAATAAATAAATAAATAAAACATATGGCCTCGGTTGATGTTAACTTAAGGTCGTTGTTTTACTGCCCTAAAATTGAAGGGAAATTTTTACAGCGTTTTTTATGTGTATTGGGTCTCTATTTGAGTGTATTGAGAATCGGTCAGTCTGAAAAGGCCTTGTAGGGAAGACAATAGGTTTGTTCGTCGAAAATCCAGCAAGAATTATCACTGAAAATATCAGATAGTAAGAAAACTTGCAATTTTCCGTACGAACGCAAATTTGCAAGTTTTTCTGCCAGCTAGTGTCCACGGTTGCATTTCATACAAAAGAAATTTGTATAGATGCTTTCCATTTCCAGACAACCGGTCAGGTACGAGCATGATTTTTAATTTCGACCAAACTCAAATATATTGTTTGTTGGTCCAAATAATGAGACACGTATTTTTTTCTTTTGGCTCGGAAAAATTTTTCTGCCGAATTAAACGCGATTTTATTTTTCAGGCAAAAATCGATTATTCGAATTGACAGTGGGATTTTTTTTTTAAATGCCCATAACTTTGTCAAAATTTAATAGATTCCAACAATGTTTTTACTCAAGTTTCGATTATAAAAAGCTGGAAAATGTGATTTTGTATTTCGAAACTGTATGGTGGAAAGTGTGTTCTAATATCTATTTGATACACAAAAAATGATCACGGCTGTACTTTTTGCTGATATATTACATACATATGTTCCATTTAGTTAAACAATATAAGAATATTGTAGTATGTACCCCAAAAAGTTATATTTTCTATAAAAAATCATAACTCAGAAAACAAAAATCTTCGCTATTAGAGATTTGGCTTGATTGTAGTTCAAAGTGTCTCTTTTCCGGTAAAAAAGTTTGAGATTAAAAAAAATACACTTTTTGAGAAATTAAATTTAAAAAAAGATTTGCACTTTTTGTTTATTGTTAAATAAAAAATTTTAAATAATGAAAATCAATAATTGTATCATTCTATCTTGAAGTGACAAGAATTGCTGACATTTGAGTAAAAACATTGTTGGAATCTATTAAATTTTGACAAAGTTATGGGCATTTTAAAAAAAAATTTCCTCTGTCAATTCGAATAATCGATTTTTGCCTGAAAAACAAAATCGCGTTTAATTCGGCCGAAAAATTTTTCCGAGTCAAAAGAAAAAATACGTGTCTCATTATTTGGACCAACAAACAATGTATTTGAGTTTGGTCGAAATTAAAAATCATGCTCGTACCTGACCGGTTGTCTGGAAATGGAAAGCATCTATAGAATTTTTAAAATTCTTTCATAGGGGCAAAAAACAGGATCTACGTGTATATATCTTGTCAGTCCGACTTTCTTCAACATACGATTCAATTTCTTTTTCGGGTTTACTACATCGACTCTCGTTGAGATTGCATTCCGATTAAGAATACAGCTTTTTTTTGCCAAGTACCTTTCAAATTATTGGAATTAACTAAATTAATTAAGTAAACAAGTATTAACTTACATTTTTATACCTTTCATGAGCATGAAATGGTATTATAACTTTGGTCCGATGTTTGTAAGTACCAGAACAAAAAGAGATAGACCCATTAAAATGTATACTTATTTGATCAGAACGTCGAGCTGAGTTGATTTATCCATGTCCGTCTGTCCGTCTGTCNTTTTAGCCGGTATTATTTGCCAATTTAGCCGGTTCGTCCAAAAAGTTCTGGTAACACTGCACAAAAGTATGTTTTCTTCGAAAATACTCAAGTACTACCAGTAGAGTACTCTACTGTCAAATACCTTTTTCTGGCAGTAGTTGCGGAAGGCAAAGTAAATACTGTACGTGTCGTGCTATTGATCGGTAGTTTACGTACGCTTGCAGAAACTGGTTTATGCCTACTCACACTTGACCCGAACGATGAGAGTAAAGGAGGGAAAGTATTTGCGCGGCGATCGGATGTCGTTTTAGGCCGTTTAAATGGAATTGCGCAGGAGTTTTATATACATACCTAACCAATTATGCATGTATTACTACAAGTTGTTAGTAATTTTCATTCGCGTTTTTAAAAAAGCTTGTCGGCGAATTTAGCGTACATTCATAATTGGTTAGGTATGTATATGTATGTACTATGCAGATATTTAATCCGGTTTGTTATTCGCGCGACAAACTTTTTTAAAAACGAAGTAAATTAGTACAAATTGTTAGT